GTGGTAGGGGAGGACAGGAGGGAGAGGGAACTGGGACTGACATGTAAAACAATCTTGTTTCTAATTCAAATAAAAAAAATCTGAAAAAAAAGAGAGTTTGCAAGATGGGTAGGCAAGGGTGGGGTGTAAAGGCACCTGCCATCAAGGCTGGAAACTGAGTTGTATTTCCAGAATCCACATGGAAGAAGGAGAGAACTGACTCCAGAAAGCCCCCTGACCTCCATAAGTGTACTGGGACATGCATTTCCACACATACAATAAACAGATCAATAAGTAAACAAATGTTTTTAAATATTTATATATTTTTAATCATATTTGGGAGTTTGCCTGCATGTATGTATTTGCTCTACATGCATGCCTTGTGCCCAAAGATACTAAAAGAGGGCATCAGATCCCCTGGAACTGGAGTTGTAGGTGGCTGTGAGATATCATGTGTGGCTGGGAACTGACCCTAGGTCCTTCACAACAACTGAGACATCTCTCCAGCCCAATAATTTTTTTCTAAATTTTTTAAAGATAAGAATAAAAAAACAAAGATGGAATTTTAGAGGTAAAAATATATCAAAATAAAATTTTTCCTGGATATAGTTGTGTTAACTGGGATACTGTGTTTACTGGCAAGGGTGTGGTGTTGGAGCAACCCAGTAGGACAGCATACAAACCACAGGAGATAAATGTTTTAGGGATTGGTTCACACAATTATGACAATGACAAATACAAAATACAGAGGATAGGGCATCGGGCTGGATGTCCAAAGAGCTCATATTGCACTCAGGTCCAATAAAGCCATTTTCAGGAATCCTCTAACTTGGGGGAAGCAGGGATCAGCCTTTCTTCTCCCAATCTTTCCATTAATTGCAGAGAGCCTACCCTCATAACAGAAGGCAGTCTGCTTTTCTCCAAGCCCACCAACTCAAAACTGAAATGTCCACCGCACCCACAAAACAGAGGAGTGAGTAAAAACCATACAGAAACCTCCAGAATAATGTTTGACCAAATGTCTGGACATTTGACAAGTCAAATTAACCATTTTTTATCATGTGTAGATACCACTTGGAAAGGATCAAAGTGATGAAAGTCTCAATGGTAAAAAAAAAAAAAAAAAAAAAAAAAAAAAAAAAAAAAAAAAA